ATTTTACTGGTAAAGAAACACAGCGACATCTAGTGGATAAAAACACACAACAGTAAATGACTAGTATTACTGTCATTATTGTTGTTACTACTTTATAACTTTATATTAATATTCTTTAGTCACATACATACCCCTCCAATATTCATAAACTTTATTTGCTGCAAAAACGATCTGTAAGATTGTCAACTGTCTCAAACTCTAACGAGGCCTCTGTCCTCCTGTTCAGAAAACTGAACATTGTGTCAGTATATGACATTAATATTCATCACAGATCTGTGTTTATATACAAATATGTTCTTCTTCTTCTCTACTCTCATCGCTGAGACTGAGCCATCTTCGTCTTCCTTTTTGTGTTTCACGGCATGTGGGAAAGACGGTAAAGAACAGTTTCCACTCTACTCAGGTTGTAAATATTATTTGGCAATGTGGGATTTGAGGCTAGAGGTTACAATTCAGCAACATGGAAATACTTGTAACCTTGTAAACAAGTACATTTGTATGATTGTTGCATCTCCTGCTGCCACCGCTACCGCTGCTCACAGGCACAGCTTCTGAAATAGTCCCAGCAAGAACTGTTTGTAATATACATCTGAAGATACCAGAAGAAAAAGAGTAAGTGTAATATAGACTGCTTGCAGCAATCACATATGAAAGTCCATGCCTCTTCTGCCAACAGTGACATTTTGTACAACATTTATTTCATATACATATACACAAAATGATAGCAAATATTATTAATACAAAATAAAGGACAAGAGTCAAATCGATGAACTGCTCCGGCGTGGTGGTAAAACCTAAGCAAAGGGCCCGGCGGCAGTCTCAGGGATATTGGTGGCATGCATGTCCCGCGTCATGTTGGACTTCTCTTTGAGTTTGGCCTGCAGCAGCGTGTGCTCGACTACACCGATCCTCACGTCCATCTGAACGATCTCCTGCTTTAACTTGGTCAAACTCTGCTTGATCTTCACCACCGGAGCTGAGGGACAAACACAGACAGTGACGGTCAGTACTGAATGAAGAGTTAGTCGAAAGCTAAAGTTGGAGATTCAGTCAGTTTTACCTCCATCAGACATACTGCTGCCTTTCTCCTCCATCTCCTGCTTCACCTTCTCCAGCTCCTCACTGATCTGAAACACAAAAACACAGGTTTTATACTGTCTATGAATAATTCAGTGTATCAGTTGAGCTTATTTTTTTAAATACCAGAGAAAAGGAAATGAGCCTGAAGGGACATTTTCCCTGCTAATGACTGATACGGAACAGTATTTATTCTCCACAGTCTGCCTTCATTTATTTTTAAAAGGTGCCATATATAAGATTCAGAAGCATTTATTATTATTTTTATTCATTAATCAACGGGTTGTAACTGTGTACAAAAAGAAACCAACGCAGCCATCGTTTGACTGGAGTAGTTTCAATAGTACTTTGAGTTATCATCAGTGTTCACTGACCACTGCCAAGACTCTGGTCCTCTCAGTCACTCCTCCGCTGGCCTGCTGGTAGCGCTCCTTTGCCTGGTGGAGAATAAAGCTTTGTTACCAACTTTCTGTTTGTCTTTAAACAAACAATTATTTATATTTCCAGAGTTTTGTTTTTACCACAGCGGTGACAGATGACATGTATTCACAGCTCTCCTCTCTTTTCCTAAACCCTCCCATCCATCAGCAGGAGGTTATCAGAGAGCTTTGAGTTGCAGGTGTGACTTTACCTCGCTGAGTTTGGCCTGGGCGCTGCGGTACTCCTGGATCAGATGCTCCAGCTGGTTGTTGATGTATTTCTCTCTGCTGTTCACCTTCTCAAGAGTCTTATTGATGTCCTCCTGCAGTTTGTCCAGGTAGCTCTGCACAGGCACGAGAATTTCAGTCCACAAACCTTTCTATGAGTACATTTCTACTGTACTTCAGATGACAAAAGTGTTCCTGAGTAAAAACTACTTATTTCTGGGAAGACACTGAAGACATGACAGGAAGCCCGCTGGAACATAATCCAGAGTTTATGAAAACACCAGCTCAGCAACAAGTGTTCAGATCCTGCACTTAGACAAATATCAGTCACATCTGTATATACAAAGCTATATATAGTGCACATACAACTCTTATTCTAATTTTTCTATTTCAATTTTGTATTTAACATGTATTTTTCTTATCTGTTGTGTTGTGTCTGGAGCTGCTGTAGTGAGTGAATTTCCCCAGTGTGGGATCAATAAAGTCGATGTTATCTCATTTAAAGCTCTCATTTACAATCATGTCTAGTAACATTTTAAAATAAAAAAATATACAAGGAATTAAAATAATACAATGTATAAGATAACTATAAAAAAACTATTTAAAATTTAAATTAAAACTTAAAATTAAAACACCTGTAAAAGCAGAGTTAATGTAAGATATAAAGTGGAAACAGGTTGAATCATTTTTGGGCATGGATTTAAATTCTCCAACGGTACAATAGTATTGCTATATTGATACTTAGGATGCTTTGTAAAGAATTTCAGGTTGTCTGAGGTTGTCATAAAAATTTAAATTCAGTTAAATGTCATTTTATTTGTATAGCACCAATTCATAACAAAAGTCTCAGGACACTTTTCAAATGGAGCAGGTCTAGACCGAACAGCTCCCACCATGAGCAAAGACCTGGAGACAGTGGCAAAGAAAAACGTCCTTTTAAGAGGTAAGTTTAAAACTTGCAATTAAAGCCATTAGAGTCATAAGATCGTGCTTGGTAAAGTTGATGTGGAGCTGATTTTGAACCTTTTTGTCCTCTGTAATTAAAATAAGAAACAGCAGGTGGAGCCAAACACACACAGACGGACACCAGTTAAACCATAATCACTGCTCTTATTACTGAGCCAGGTCAGTGAACGCACCTTGGCCTCTTTGAGCGAGGACTTGATGCCGTCTCTGTGTTGATGCATCTGGTCCACGTGGATCCTCCAGTCCTGCAGACCGACACACAGACCGGAGACCAGTCAAACACAACGGAACTCAACAGAGACAGACGCACAACAACAGTGCTGCGTGTAAAGAGCAGAGCAATGCAGTGAAAGGACACGATGGACAGTCAGGATGACACAATAATGGACTGATTGTAGTGCTGTCCGGTTGAAACCTGATCCTGGTCCTGTTGAGTGCTGGAGATGAACTATGGACCATTATGTACAGCTGCTAACTGTAGCGGAGCTCTTGTTTGCCTCCCTGCCTCGTCAACTCCTTTAAAAGCAGACGAGAGGATAGAGTAGGGGCGCTTTCTTAACGAGAGCCAGCTGATTGGGCTCCATAACACACCAATAACGTTACTGACTCCATAAACAGACTTCAAACTTGGAAGCTTTACGTTTTGCCATGTTTAGTTCAGTTTTGTTCTAGTGTTAATTGTGTTGTTTAGCCTGCTGCACTTTGATTAGCACCCAGCAGCTAGCAGGCAGAGTGCCCTGTGGTAGATTTAAGTTAATTCACTAACAACGTGCAGACCTCGTCCCCATCGACCAATCGACTGGTTGAAGAGTACGTAGAGTCGGACTGGAGACGACTGGTTGACTGCAGTCCGACATTTCAGGACCCTTTATGACACCGATATAATGATTAGCATAAACATGCACAACCGCCTTTCCAAAGAGCAATGAGCTTTAAATCCTGAAGACTATTCAGACATTTGAACTGGAATGTGTAAAGAATATTAAAATATCCTTCATAAATAAAATATAAGTAATAGACTCATGGACTATGTTAACAATAATGTATCATCTGCCACACAGTCATTCATTGTTTAACAGGCAGTATAGTAATGGTGGTAATGGTGTTTGTTCTGTTATCATGTTGGCTAAGACGAGCACTAATTACATACAGTATATATCATACAGTAAGTGGAAGAGCAGATTTATCTGCAGTGATACAGTAGTTACATATTTACTTTGAGTTTATCCTGTTTTCCTAATCACAGCTGATTTATAAACACATTCTGCTTTGTGATCAAATCAACAGGCAGATGTCAGACTGTTGCCTTCAGGGACCAGTGAGACGTTAAAGTCAGCACAAAGACACCGGCCTGCTGCTTCTCCGTCTCCCCCTCGCTTAGCTACAGCTTCACTTCCACCTCACACCTGCTCACACTTTAAATTGAAATTGACTTCTCTCATCGAATGAGCTCCCTCGCCGCCGAATGTAAATGTGGAGCGACGACCCAGAGTGCTTTGCTTTTCACTCCCTGAGGAATTGAAGCTGCAGTAAAACAGCAGACTTTACAGGAAAGAAACTCCGACATAACCAGAAACAGGCGGATGTCTGACTCACTGATGCAGTCCGTTACACACAGTTAGAGTGGCGAGGACCGGGTTTAGTGTCGGCTTCCTCATTATGAAGACACACAGAGCTGCTGCTGAGGGAATCACACCTGTGACGTTTAACCACCGCTCTGATATGAAGCTCAGATTGAGCTGCTTGGTAACAGTTTGTTCACATCCTGTCTCTGCTCCTCTCTTCACACTGGACACTGAATATATTGGAGAAATGACACAGACGACTGGCACAGTCAGAGAGAATAACAGAAACTCTTTAAGCTCAAATCTGGAACATTTCCCAATAAACAGTGTATAAACTGTAGAGCTATGTTCTATATGTAGTTGATTAATCAATAATCTATAATCAATGGCGTCATATCCCCTTTGTGCCTGCGTCAGCGTTGTGGTTGTCTGTCAGAAGCTGTCATACATTGACTGTTTATCCAT